CACAATTATCAAGCAGCTCTTCACATGGAAGAATATTTGAAATATCCAACATTGAAAGACATTAGGTTTCTGGTTATGGAATCAAATCCGAGGACACTATGAATGATAAGCTAGTCTAAAAGGTGGATCAACATCAATTTTCAACCCTCTTTGTGATATGATAACATTGTGTATTAGTCTCTTTGAATTTGATAGTGTTAGAAGGCACATTGATCCCATGATTGAAGCTTTTATAATATATGTTTGAAGGCAATAAGTTTCAACATTACGATCTCATTATTATCATATTTCCGTTGCATAGCTTATATTCTATATGCACTATCATTTTATAAACTTTAAATATCCACATGATTGAAATAAAATGATAAAGTTAAAATATCACCTTTATTATTTTTTTTTAAAAATAATACGTCTTTGAAATGAGATTGTTACAATAATTTTCCGTTGTACATCAATTTGCTTGTTGGACACGCTATTGCTTGTTGGACATGCGATTGCTATCGATTACTTGTCTATGATTTTTGCAGCCACCTGGACATGGTTAAGACCATAATTTATTGTTCTTACCGCCGTCTCTCTCATTCATGCATCCATGAACAAATTGACATGCACGCACCATATAATGACTTACATTTTACATTTGAATATCTTCTTTTACCTGCAGGCATTTATTGATAAGTTCCGGTACAATGCAAAGAGGGCATCTCTAGTTCAGTCTAGGATCAAGGTGTTCATCAACTAAATTGGCTGATTACAATTTTAATATCCCTTGTTGCTCTAAGTTCTATCTTTGTTTGGTTGATTTACTTGGTTAGTAATTCCTTTGTCTTCAGGCATTAGATCGCTTGGGTCATGTAGATGAAATTATTAATGATCCTGAGTATGCACTGGATCTCTTCTTCCATTAACTTATACCACAGTTTGCTTCTACTTTCCCTTTTTAGCTTTACTTTATTATACATATTTTCTGGGTGCCTTTCATATGCAGTTACAAATTTGAGTTTCCAACTCCAGATGATAGGCCTGGCCCTCCCATAATAAGTTTCAGGTCTGTTTTATTGTAAATGTTTTTGATTTATTTCTTCAGGTGTATGCTTTGGGTTCCTTGACCAGCAGTGAAGTGTCTTATTGGCATTTCTTTATTGGTTTTTCTTGGATTGTTAATAGTGGAAGTTGTGACTATTTTTGCCTAATTACTTTTTGTCTGAAATATGTAAAATGTTCAGTCCATTTCCTCTTGACATTGACTGACATGCAAGCTTACTGTTTTCATTTGGATTCTTCACTACTTGCAGCGATGCCTCATTTGGTTATCCTGGGGGGCCCATATTGTTTAAGAATTTGAATTTTGGAATAGATCTAGACAGCCGTATTGCAAGTAAGGATGCTTGTTCTTTAAATCTTCCATTATTCTTTAATTTGCATTTGTAGGTTTCTTTTCTTTTCAATATGCATGTCAGTTACCTTTTGTGATGTAGAGAACACATGATATTCTTCATTCTGTAAAATTTTGGTAGAAACTAAGATGCCTTTCTGGGGCTGTTGTTAGCAATGCCTCATTTCTGGAACTATGTTTACGGCACCTCATTTCTTTGAAATATATAAACTGCCATTTATTATGCAGGATATATTCTTATCTGTATTTAGCTTTCATATACTGATGTCCACATTTTTAATGTAGTGGTTGGGCCAAATGGCATTGGGAAATCAACGATACTCAAACTAATTTCTGGTGAGTTACAACCAAGCTCAGGGACAGTTTTTCGTTCGGCTAAGGTATCTGATACCAGTTCCTATAGCTTTTCCCAACCAAATAGCAAATTTGATACTTATGGAAATACTTTTGCACTGAAGTGTAAATGTAGACTGCTTTTTGCTTACGGCTCAATCTTCAAAAATATCAACTCTCGCTTTCTGGAGAAAGATCTCACATAGTTTATAGTGATCATTTTGTCTGCCAAGTTAGCAGTAAATCTGTTTCTCTGTTGATAATGTTATAAATAGTTGTCTTTTAACTTTTTCCCCTTTGCTGCATGTAGTTGAGGTAACTGATATTCTCTGCGGTTTCGTCTTACAAACTTTAGTTTTGTAATCTGATGGTCATTGATATTATTCTGTCGCCAGGTTAGAATTGCTGTGTTTAATCAGCACCATGTTGATGGATTGGATCTTTCTTCAAATCCTCTTTTATATATGATGCGCTGCTACCCTGTAAGTTTCTTATGCTTCAGTTTTTTGTGTTTCCCAATTTTTATTTTTTTTGAAATAAAAAGTTGTATATGTGTATTAATATTGGTACCAAGGGGATACCGCCCATTTACAGATTATTTACAATTTGATTAGGTTATCTAATATGTTCTCTAACTCCCCAAAAGATTGGATAGAGTGATCCAACAACAAAAAACCAGGGCCTGGAACCATTTATTCTTAAGTCATATCTATCTATATCCTCTACCCCCTCAAAAGCCCTTTATTACGCGTTTTCCACACAACCCAAAATACAGTAAGAGAAATTATCTCAGCATGTTTTCTTCTACTTCTCATCCCCATCCAAGCCCACATTTTTTAACCGACCCAGAAACCACCCAGCTGATTCCAAGATTGTTGAAGATCATTGACAAGAGCTTTGTCACCACTGGACACCAAAGCAGGACATGATTGCAACTTTCCTCTGCCCTTTTACAAAAGTAGCATTTATTAACCAATATCTTGCCCCTCCTGAGTTTATCTATATTCAAGATACATTCCATGCTTGCTTCCCAAGAAAAAAGGGAAGTACGGAGTGGAACTTTTCCTTTCCAGATCTGGCTGTACGGGAGACAAATGGCATTCCCTTCATGTTTACATAATTGTCTATAATAGGATTTGACTGTGAAGATCCCCTTTTTTTGTCAAACACCGCACAGGAGTATGACTACTGTCATCCCAATTTCTATTTTGTGCTGAATTCTCAATATTTGGATGAATTACCCCCTGAATACCTAGATTTTTCAATAAAATTTCTGGACTTCCAAATATTCTTTTGAGTTGGCCTCCCAAATGGAAACTTTGCTTTCTTTCTTTCTCTAGTTTATTTGTGCTGTGTGTTAGGTTAATTAATGCGAAACTGTTTGAAGAGTGGTTGGTTGTTCCCACATCATGTAACAAGTTTGGGTCAATTTATATCTTTCTTTCGATTATTATTGAGGACTGGTTCAGATCTCCGTGTTGCTTTCATTGACATAAATGGTGGTTGTATTCTTGCTATATGGAATGGCCATGCTTCAATATATTCTAATGTTTAAGTCCCCTTAATTGACTTCTCTTCTTTCAGGGGGTACCTGAACCGAAGCTCCGTGCTCACCTTGGTTCTTTTGGTGTAACTGGCAATCTTGCACTTCAGCCAATGTACACTTTATCTGGTAACTTGCTTTCTAATCCTCATTCATTCTCGGTTCTTTAAAATTAAAGGTTCTAGTTGTTTTTGGAACTGAAGAAAGTTTTTGTTCTCCTGGATGGATAAACCCTATATATCACAAGTTTGCTAACTGAGAATCATGGAGAAAACTTGGCATATATTTTTGTAGCTTGACTGTTTTGTTTTCTTTTTTTTATTTTAAATAAAAGCTTGACTGTTTTGTAACTGAATATATTAGGTGGACAAAAAAGCAGAGTTGCATTTGCAAAGATAACTTTCAAGAAACCGCATATTCTATTGCTTGATGAGCCATCAAATCATCTAGTAAGTAATAATGATTTCCTTTTCTTCTTTTAATGCATTGTGATAGTATTAGACATGGTTGGGAAATTGGAATTCTGAGATTTTATTTCCTTCAAATGCCTGCTGCAATCTAAATTTAGAAAAAAAACCCTGGGAGCTGGGAAAAGATGTTTAGAGACTGTTTCTTGGGTTCCATCTTCAACAAACTACACTTTTTCATGACATGTCTTATTTGTTCACCGTCAGCTGTTAATAGCCAGTGATAGCACCACTATATATAACTGACATTGCATCTACTTAATAACATATTTATTGATGTATGGAAATTGTAGGATTTGGATGCAGTGGAGGCGCTAATTCAAGGTCTTGTCTTGTTCCAAGGGGGCATTCTCATGGTATAATTATGTCTCTTCTCATATCAGCTGTCATCTGCAGACACCAATTTTTGCAAATAAACCTTTTAAGAAAATAAAGAACTCTTGGTTTCTTATCGTTTATACTGAATTATGGGTCTAAATTATTTTCCTGTTGATTGGCGATTGCAGGTCAGTCACGATGAGCATCTTATATCTGGAAGTGTAGAGGAGCTATGGGCGGTATCAGATGGCAAGGTGGCACCTTTCCGTGGTACATTCCAGGACTACAAGAAGTTGCTCCAGTCTCGTTAGAGTTCGGAGGACAACTTATTTCTCGTTGTGGTATGGTACCGCATGTGCACTAAACTAAAGCTAAGATTTCTTGAGTTGTTACAGAATACAAATGTTATTTGGTTTTCGTGCTTATGCCTATGGAAATTAATTATTGATTTTTTCCCCTGTTCGACAGAGGGAAAATGTATTCCCATAAGATGGTAATTTACAAATACCTGCACCCGTTTAATGGTTGGAGTTATATTATGCTTATCACCAATACCATTTACTGCGAATTTAGAATTAGAAAGCACACTAGATCTTTCCTTCCTTTTTTAATTTTATTTTTTCTGAAAAAATAAAGCATATTTGGAGTTTATCAAGGAAAAAAAAAATTATGTTGGATCTTAACAGTCCGCAGGTGTCCGCTGCAATTTTAGGGTATGAGAGTGTACGTGGTGTTGGTTCATTGTTTTCTGCATTGTGATTTATGGTTAAAAAAAAATGCTTCTAATATTAATTTCGGTGTTTTATTTAATTTCATCATGTCATAAAATTATGTGAGTACAGAAATTAATTGTTATAATTGTTTAGATTTTAATAAATTTAGTTTTTGAAAATAGTTATTAATTTATTAAAATAGTTAATTGACTGGTTCTCTTAATAAACATATTAATTTTTGAATTATTATTAAATAATTTATTAAAAATCTGAAATTATTGGTAAGGAATTATCATTGTATGTTTATTCTGAAAATATTAAAATTATTAATACATTTGTCGAAAATATAATTTATTTTCTATTTTGCAAGTTAGTATTCAAAAATATTTATCTTCAGTTTCTAAACTACTTTCAACTTTAATTTTTGTTCAAAAATTTATTTTTAATATCTTGGTAGAGTTTTGATCTCTCTTGGTATTTAATTAATAAAATGAAATAACCGTAAATAGCCCAAGAAAGATTAAAAAATCACTAATTGCCCACAAATAAATCCTCGCTTCCCAATCCGCCCCGCCATTTGACTCACAAAATTTGTTTGTCCCCTTTCTGTTCCACATTTCTGAATTCCACGATCATATCCTTAAACCCCCTCCCTGCTCCAAACCTATCACAGATGGAAAATACCAATACCAACCTCAGCATCATATCGAGGGAGAAGCTGGACCAGGTGGCCACCTGGGTGAGCACCACCGTCATCTCCGCCTTCTTTTCCTCCCTCGAGAGGTGTTCTTGCGTCAACCTCACCACCACCGAATTCGATGATGACGAGGACGACGCCAATGATCGCCCTCTCACCCTTTCCGCCGCTCCCCACCCCAACGACATCGTTTAGCTCATCTCCCTCGTCGGTATCTCGTATTGATTCACCTCCTTCCTTCCTGTTAGGTTTGTTCTTTTTCATTAACAAAAAGGGCAAAAACTGAGAAAAACTATATGTATATTGTTCCTTCTGGTTCTTGTGTCTGTTTCTGGAGTATTTAATTATTATGTATTTATAATGAACCAAATTTATGTAATTTCAAACTGCTCCTCTTTGTATTCTGTTTAATTTTGTTCTCTTAATTGAATTCTGATATCATTTTGTTAAAACTCTCTTTTTTCTCTCGATATCATGGAGATGGAATTGTTTTGCCTCTGTTTGGTAATGGAATATTTGTAGTTTTCTTTTGATGCATAGGAGTTGAAGTTCTTAATTTCTTCTCTTTGGAATTAATAATTTTAATGTCTGACGTACCAAAAAATTCGATTTGATGAAATTAATCCCTGCATTTTCTTGCTGTCTATATGAATGTCATTGATTGTAATATTGCTTTCATGTCCTAGTGATATGCTTGCTTCTGGTAAGCAAAGACTTTTAGCCCTGGTTAATGTCATCACCAGCCAATTTTTTGACCCTGTTTTCAGTTTAGCCCTGTTTTCACCACAATTGGGACTTCTACTGTGCAAGTAGGTGTAAGGTTTTTGTCCGTTTATAAGGATGTGAAGAGTGGTTTTTGTTATGAACCTTGGAATTTCTTTACTTTTGACTCGTAGCCCTGAATTGCCGCACTAAGTTCTGTTTTTGCTGACTGCGGTATCACCAATCTACGGATGAATTGTGAAGACGGCTCCTTCGTTCTCCCCTCTCCTCAGTTTCTTCTTTCTAATATTTTGCTAGGCAAAATTGGATCAAAGAGGTACCTTAGTCCCAGTTGATATCTTTGCCAACCAATTTCCAAATTGCAGTCTTTTAAGTGAACAAGAAAATTATGATCTTGAGTCATTGTTTATTTTGGTTGTGTTTTTTACTTTTAAAAGATAAGCAGATCTTCTTGATTGTTAGGAAAATGCCCCTAGTGTGCTCACTTTCTACATATGAAGATGGTGAACTAAACTCATTTGATTGTCTTTTTGCTTATTATCATCTCCTCTTGGAGTGCTTGGGTACTTTTGTGGAAATAAATTTGAGTTCAAATGCAGAAAATTACTTGAATGTGTGTTAGGTTAACAATATTGATTACATTGATAATATCAGGAACAGTTTTAATTTAAGGAGAATGCTTGTATATAATGAACCTAGAAGCTATACAGATTTACATGTGGCATCAGAAAGCATAAATTTTGCCTGAGGGAGCAAGAGAAAAGAAGTCTATATTCTGCGTTTCTTCTTCACAATTCATGATGAGTATGTTCCATCAAATTCCTCTTGCTGCCTCTGTCTCTGTCCATATTGACCAATCGACTCCTTTTGCGGAGCTTTTTCTCTAATTTTATTTATGTCTATCCACGATACCCATCTATGTAATATCCACTACATAATTCTTAGTAGATTTGTAGTGTCTTTACCTGGAATAGAAAATCTAGATGTCCCTATTGAACCTGCTTGCATTACTCTCCATGCTCCTTCCAACAAAGCAGCATGATTACACATCGACGTATTATATACAACTTTGCTCTCTTCTCCTTTAGAAACCTATTCTTTGGTACCTGAGCTTTCTCTTGCTTGTGGGCAGAAGTGGTTGGGTCCATTGTCTGGAGCGCCCCTCCTGAGTTTAACTCTGCAAAGGCATGTGCTGTTTTTCCTTTAAAACTTGTATCGCTACAAAGGAGGTCCTGCCCATTTTAAGTCTTTTATAGGAGTTACTACATAAAATATTGTGTCAGTTTTCTTGGAAGTAATAAAATAATTTTTTTGATTATTTATTTGGCCTCAATACTTATGCAATTAACCAGTTTTCTGGTTTTCTGCAACAAGTAGTTTCCTGCCAGAGTGGTTCAATATCCGGACTCCCAGATTAATTGTCTCCCTCAATAACCAAACTAGAAGTGCTATTTCCTGGATTTATTGCCAAAAAGACAAATTGGCCACATAGCCTTTACCTTGTTTGAGTTTTTAAATTTGGCTTCGGCCCCTCTCCTAATTTATGTTATTGTGATATGTGATTTGCTTAGTCGATCTCTTCTTTTAAATCATCCTTGTAATCATCAAGTTTGCATCATGATCAAACAAATTCTAAGTTAGAATATGATCAAACAAATTCTAAGTTAGAATATGATCAACAAGACACACTGCGTTGGACAATGGAATTTGAAAACATGATCATGGGGAAGAGAAGGATGCTGCTTATATGCTTACCAACCTAATTACCAGTTACCACACAAGTTGTCAATCTTGAAATCACTCATCTGTTTGGTACTTTTTACTTTCTCAATTCACGTATAATATACATGGAAGCGTGTATTTTGATATGTATATTTGTTGTGTTCAAAATGAAATAAAAAGTATGGGACAAAATATTAAGACTATTTTATGAAGGGGAAAATTTATTTAGAAATTCACACTTAATTTGATTATAAAATAAAAGCTTTATTATTTCAGAATGGAAGGGATGAGGAGAGTTGTGAACATGTGTTACTTAGATGTCCGGAGGTATACATACAAGTTTTGAACTTTGGTATAGGAGCTGTTGGATCATGGAAGGATGAAATTTATACGGCTTTTTATTTTTTGGGTTATTTGGATGGAGAAAAATAGGAGGATTTTAAAGAATTTTTAGTTTTTTTGTTATAG